TATCGTGTGCAAGATATCATCTATTAGGTTAAGCAATATTCTATAAAACAAACAAACAAAAAACACATCTTTCCCCCTGAAGACAGTCTTTACAGGAAGCGCTAAGGAGAGTGAGTCACTTTAAGGAAGTAAAAGAAGGGGTTGGCGCAGAGTGCCCTAAAGGGTTGCACAGCATGCTTAACCAGTGAAAATGAATAATCGTATTCACAAAACACACACACAAAGGGTTACATTTTCCCTGTTTGTATTTAAATGGGACACTTTGCAGTCATTTGGGGGGGATTGGCCCCCTTCTGTGCAAATCAGCGTCTAATTCACAGAGGTGCTAACAGCCATGTGCAGTAGGAGTGAAAAAAGTAACAACTACTGAGAGTTGGTTGTGACTGCACTGCAGTATTCACAGTATAAGAGATATCACACTTAAACTATCCAGTGATCAGGAAAACCATTCAGACTCTGTAGAACTTAAACATAAATGATGTGTAAATAAAGTCTGCAGAAATGTGACGTTACTTTAATTAATTTAACCAGATAGCTTCTCTCCACATTAAGACACAAAACAAGAGCAAACTGCACGGAGCAGGACAATTTTTTCCCCATGTTTGCGCCTGAACATCATCAGAGCTATATGCTCTATAAGTCTGACCTTGAGACGGAGCAGAAAGGAGATAATGATGCACACATTTTTTTTTTGTGAGCCATTAGCAGCTGCAATCCATTCTCAGTAAAACCCTCACCATGTGTCGTCCAGGAGATGAAATGTCACAGGGGCCCTGATGTCTCATGTTGGTCTTTGAAAAACACTCTGAGGCATGTCCATAAAACAGCAGTCTGTGTGTGTGTGTGTGTGTGATGACTGCAACACAGGTAATCGTCTGCACATCTCTAATTTGACATTCAGAGATTGCTGATCATCTCTTTTTTGAATTTTAAATCACATGGTGAGCTCACAGCTGCTTCTGCCGCTCCATTAGACGTCATGTTTGTCACAGTGACATCATCAGGTGTTTACAGTACACACAGTGATGTCATGTCTCTGATTGAAAGTTTGATCCATAAATAAAAAAATAAACAGGACAAAGCGTGACCTGGGATGACTTTGTGAACTGATGTTTTTTTTTTTTTTTAATTTAGAATAGACTGTGCTAAGACAATGATTCAGTGAGTAAAGTGAGGATTAACAAAGTCCATCAGACGTCACCTTTAGAGAGAGGATCAGTTTAAACACTGTGTTCAGACCTCCTCCACACACCCTGTTTGTTTAACAGCCCTGCAGCAGACACAAAGCAGAGTGTTGACTTATCTCAGTGCTGCTTTATTGTCCCTGCGGGGCTTCCGTCTCACACGCTGACAGGGTTACACACAGAGATCACAGAGGCATCAAATGAGATTTAAATCTGCTGAGGGATTCAGTCACTGCCACTGAGTGAAACATTTATTTCATGTGTTATGATAGGTTTTGTCGTTTTAAATTCTCAGTCCCTGCAGCTCATTCCTGAAGGATATTTTCTAAAAGCTGGCTCTGAACACCAGGACAGGAATGTGGATTACTGACGAGGCACAGAGGGGGAGCTGATGGGGGCCACACGGCCTGAGGATGTCACCACTGTAGTTGTTACCGTAGGCGGAGTATGAGGTGGTTCAGGGGGTTCACTGGACACCCCTATTGGCTGCAAACAAATGATTCATTATGATCTTTGGTGATCACCTGAAACAAATCTTATTTAACACAAAATTATCAAATCCAATTGTTGAGGCCTGACGTCATCCGACAGCAACATGACCGACTGGAAGGGATGAAAAGACGCATTGAAGCTGTGGTAAAAACAACTGTTATTACATCAGGTATTGATTTCTGAACTTTTCCAAAGTAGGGATCTTTTGTTTTAAAATGTGTTGCAACAAAACGAACAAGTTTCCCTTAAAGCTGCTCTCGTATGCTTCCGTCAGCACTATGAGAACACTGACCTGAAAATAATTCATTTACTTCAACCATTTTTTCATCATTAAAAGTTTAATATTTGGGGGTGGTTAGTGCGCGCCCCATGTATGGAGGCTGTAGTCTTCCAGGTTCAAGTCCGGCCTGTGGTTCCTTTCCCGCATGTCATTCCCACTCTCTTTCCCTGATTTCCAACTCTATCCACTGTCCTATCTCTACATTAAAGGTACAAAAATCCTGGTGGTCCTGGTAACAATGCTCCGCCCATTCAGCCTAGATACACAAAAAGCGCTCTGCAGGTCGAATGAAGAAATGTATAAGTACAACCAACCCCTGTATTTAATGTCTTAAATCTAAACATAATGTATTTAAAGTGTCCTGATATTTTGATTATATTACTGTTCTATACAGTTCATGGTTAGCACTGATTACCTTTGAGGAGTTTTAGAGTTTATCACTCCGACACTTTGTTTGTAAAAAAAAAAATTATGTAAACTTTTATTCTTTGCATAAGTCCAAACACTGCACCTCTTTGTTTTTGCTAACAGGTTTTCTTATCCTGCAATTAAAAGAGCTAATAAGAATATTGATTTAGAGGTTGGGAGAAATGTCTTAAACAATAAGACAGCAAATGCACATTTTTTTGAGAACTCATAAAGAAGAAGGTTAGGAGGCAGCAAAAGTAAGAGCATAATGGAATAAAAATTATGTTTAAACAATGAGAAAGAAGAACCCAACACAAGAGGGCGAGTAGGCCGAGGATGTGTGTGAAAAAGAAAAAGTTTGGGAACACCACTGACTTCATTATTCAGAACACCTGGCTGAGGTGGAGTGATACTTATTGTGAGTCCCAGTGATGCTGACTCAGAACAGACTGATACAAATACCACAAAGCAGCAAACCTCTTATTCTTCCCCCCTTTTTATTACTTTTAAATAGAAAACCTGGCCCAGGTGGACAGAGTTTAAGAACAGAAAAGGACAAAATAAAGTAAAAAATAAAACAAAAACCAACACTGTGAAGACAGCACAGTCATTCTTCAGTCAGTCATTCATGGTGTGACATCAGTCTGAAAGTTCAGCTACTCGTGTTTGTGAAGCTGAGAAAGGAGAGATGGAGAGCTACATCGTACAGTACCTGAAACACACACTGGACCAGCCACGACACTTTTTTTTATCTCAGCTTAGTCATTCATAAAGAGAGAGAGAGACACATTAATGATATAGAGCTCCTCCCACATTTGCCCCACCCATCTAGAAAGAGGCGGAGTCTCTGAAACACCTGACTGAGCATACAGAGAGCGTCGAGCTTTCATGTTGTCTCCATAATACAGCCAGGTTCGTGTCTGAGCCTGCAACACACCACCCCACGCACACGCACACACACACACACACACACACACACACACACACACACACACACACGCACACACACGCACGCACGCACACACATGCACGCACACACACGCGCACGCACACAGGCACACAGGCACACAGGCAACATGATACCTAAAGCAGACTGTGCAAACTCTTTGGTGATAATGAGTTCAATGTAAAAAAACTATCCCACGTCTGGTTATACAATCTTTCCGATATACAGATTTCAACAGACAGAGTAGAAAATGGAGCCTGCAAATTCAATAAATTAGACAGCAAAAGATGATTGGAGAATATAAAATCCAGCAGTTGGGTTCACAAAATTATTAATAAAGAATTTTTTTTTTTTTTTTTTTAAATCAGGAGACAGTGACAGTGTTGTATCATCAAACCAGAACTCTAAAAGCCAAAGGAAAAGAAGAAAAACCCATCTGAAATCAGAGGAGAAGGAATGAAGTTGTTCTCAGGTGTGATTGGACATGATTACAGTTTTCATCGATGCTTCAGATCAGTCTTTTGTAAACAGTCACAATCAAGATTTCAGAAATGTTCGGAGCTCTGAGAGGGGCTCCCTCTCTGCTGCAAACGAAAAGGAACATTTAAGGACCATCATGGCGTAACTCACTAAGGGCACATATTCAAAAGAATTCCATATTTTTTTTTATCCTGGGCCTTATTACTTAGAACACAGAAGACTGATGGGTAGAAAATATCGCATCAGTCGGCAGCAGTGAAACACGAATAGTTAAAAATCATCTTCCTCTTTAACAAAACAGGTCCATCTCTGTAGGGATCCTACGGTGGGCAACCAGTTTAAAGGCTCGGCAACTGACGAAGAATTCTGTTTGGTGCACACCAAAGCTCTCTTGGTGCATCTGCACTGCTGTAAAAGCACACAGTGTATTGAACTGATTTGAAGCTCTGGTCAAAGTGTAAAAGCCTGTCCAATACTAACTCTAGTCCACTCTCTCTCTCCTTTTCTCGTCATAGTTTCACCTGTCATCTTCCATCTCTTAACTGCAGCCGTTGTATCAAACAGTACAGTGATGAGCTAACTAGCTGCCCTGTAGCTGAAGGCTATTGTGTGAACTAGTGACAAAAAGGTGTACACACTTCTTAGAGATGACCACAGCCTGCAAAATCCCCGTTTCCACCCAGCGGTCCGGTTCAGATCGGTTCCCATTTATTGACGTTTTCACCATCAAGTTGGGAATGGTCCCCAAATCCGTACCGTCCTATTTTTTTGGTTCCCCTTTTCTTGGGGTGCCAAGGGTACCAATCCGACTCTGAAGGGTCCCTGTTCTTCTTGAATGTTTCACTTAATTAAAAGCTGGCTCCCCCCTTATGGGCTGCTATGATGTCACACTACTGATTGTTGCTTTAATTGGCAGCTATTCTAGATTCAGTCTCAGCCGTTAGATGAAAATGTGTCATCATTTTAGTCACAATTGATTCATTTTTAGGTCTAGTTTTAGTCGATGGACAATGCAGCTTAGAGAATAAAAAGTCATAATATTTTAGTCAAAATGTTTTATCTCTTTAAAAATAATTAATTAGCCAAATACAGGTATCAGAAAGGATTGTATTAGGTGTTTTTAAAAACTCATAAACACATACAAATTATATTAATAAAGATGTTGAACTCAACATACATAATAATGCTGCTGTAAAATGAATAGCTATTGTCATTAAACACTCAGGGAACATTTTACTGCACCTCGTAAACATTTGGCAGGCACCCCTAACCCTAACCCAGAACTGCAGATTTTCACTGTTAAACAGCTTTTCATACATTTTAGCCTTATAAGGTTACTGATATTTGATATCAGTACTTGGGCAGGCTAACATTGGATTGTTAAAGCTCGTTATCAAGTCAGCTCTTTCTCTCTCATCTACAGCCGTTGCATTTGTGAAGGACTTTTGCAAGAGATTTATAATTTGCATGTTTCTGAATAAGCTGCACATTTTCTTTAATTCCAGCCGTTGCCGAGCCTGTACACTTGTCAGCCACCGTAGGATCTTTTTTGTAATGTTGTCAAACACTTGGAATATATCTGAGCCTGTCAGTGACAAAAACATCTGTTAGCGGACACACAGTACTTTGATCAGTCTTTTTGTTCACATCTTTTTGTACTTTTTTTTTTTAGCTTGAATTGAAAAGTATCAAATGTAAAAGTATTGCCCAGCTATAAAAACACTGAAATTCTCCAGTTGACCTCCCTCTGTGAGCTGACAGATGACATGTTTCAGGCTGGATGAGCCTCAGGATAACACAACAACACTGGTCAATACTCCTTCTTTCAGTAATGATACGTTCAGCCCACACTTTGTGTTCATCAGATCATATAAAACGAGACATATTTCCAAAATATATCCATGTAAAGTCTTTGATTTCAGTAAAAAATAAATTAGGTAGTGAGAACACCACTACGATGAAGGTTCAGGTACCGTTTTTGTGACCGCCGGCTCTCTCTCACGCTGTCCTTACTGAGCCGTTTGTACTCGCCAGTCTCCTGAAGCCGTGGTCATTCTTCTCCAGCCACAGCTCGGCCAGCTGTTGGGTGGAGCCGTGCGACGAGGCTTTGGAGCCCAGACACATCTTATATTGCTTTGCCTCCAGGTTGGGGTCACATATGACGGGGTGATGGACATGCACGATCCCCGTGTCCGTGCTTCTGAACAACCGTATCCCTGATTGCACAAATTTATTAAAGAGGTCCACGTCTTCCAACCCCCAGCCCTGTATCGAGGTGTCGAAGCCCCCGGCTCGAAGCAGGTCCCCCTTGTAGACGCAGACGATCCCGAAGCCGTAGTTCCTCCACAGGCCGGTCTTGGAGGTGAACACGTAGTGGTTGTTGCTCGGGACCTTCCCGGCGTACACCACCTTGGGGTCGTACTGGCTGAAGATGATGGGGAAATAGGTCTGCTCCCCGGGGGCGGTGTTGGTCCGGCACCTCTTCAGGTACTCGCTGGTGAAGAGCAGGTCGACGTCGCAGTAGAAGAGCAGCGAGTCGTTGGAGAAGTGCAAGGAGCCCACTTCGAGAGCCAGAGCCCTGGAGAAGGAGCCGTCCACCGTTTTGATCTCCATCTCGGCCCGAGGATACTTCATGTGGTAGTCCCTCATCAGCTCCACCTGCTTCACCCGCTCCGTGTTGTTGTCCGTGCTGAAAAGCAGGATCAGCAGCTTGACGTTCTGGTTGGGGATCAGGCAGACTCGTTCAAAGTTGGCCATGAAGCGCACAAAGATGTCGTAGCGTCCCGACAGAGGGACCAGGATGTTGACCTTCTTCTCCTTGGGCTCCCTCTGGTCCTGACCCGACGTGGCCAGCTTGAAGGGCACTAGCATCTTCAGAGAGTTGGAGAGAAAAGAGAGCGAGTCGGACTCCTGGTTGATGTGGCTGGCGAGGGCCCTGGCGTCCATCTCCTGGTCCTCTCTGAACTGGATCTGGCTGAAGGTTTGCTGGAGGTATGCATGCCTCCTGACGGGAACAGTCATGGTCTTTCCTTTGTGCTTCTTGTACAGCAGCAGCAGATCCAGCACATACTCGGCTCCGTATAAAGGATTCACCCTGCGGTAGCCGTACTGGATTTCTTTGAAATCGATGACTCGGCCTCGGGTCTTGGCGTTGGCGTTGATCATCTCCATCACCTGCATGATGATGTCATCCAGAGCCTGCCTTTGGGAGGAGTCCATACCGCGGCGGGGCGGCTGACCATCAGACGATGAGAACAGGTACTTCCCCGTCAGAAACTCCCACTCCAGCACTTCCTCTCTCAGCCGGGGATGGAAGCGCATAAACGAGGGGGGCATGCCCAGCTGGAGGTCCTCTCTGCTGGGTTCGGCCGCTCCGTAGCGCCCCATCTGGACAATCTCTCTGTGCAGCTGGATGGTCCGGTGGCGCAGGTCTGCGATCTTACGGCTGAGCATGTAGCTGTGCAGGCGGTACTGATAGGGGGGGTTCTTGTTGGGGTGGAGGGTGATGGCTCGGTGTATCTTGCTGTTGTGGAGATCTCTGATGTAGCCCTTCTTATTGGGTTCATAGTTCTCGTAGAAGAGCTGCTGCATCTGTGGACACACAAGAGCAACCGGGATGAGTTCAACTGAAACATGTATGGGATTTTACATTTCATACACAATCAAATAAACCTGACACCGGACATTTGGTTCCCAGCTGCATTCACTCTACGGTTGTCAACATGAACTTTGATATGATTGTAGTAAAAATAAAATTATATTGATACCTGATTAGATAACACAGGAACAATATTTGGTCATTTCTTGGGGTTTTTTGCCAAAAATTGTAAAAATTCTACAAGATTGGCAACATATTGGTACCTTAAACATGCCAAAGTTATTTTTTGTGCAGTGTTCAACAGTTTGCTTGCAATCTGTAGAGGATTTATTCCTCTTCTATGCACCTGTTTGTATTCTTTTAAGGCTTTGGTTCTTTTCAACCCTATGGATCATTAAAATAACAGAGATTAAACACTTTGTTTGAAAAGTATTAAGTGTCAAGGTTTTTGACAACCTCAACTCACACCTTCAGCAAAAACAAACCCATTCTAATAGGGTTTGGTCGTTGGGCCTTACATTCCTCATCATTTCATAACAGAAAAAGTCTTTGTTCAGTATTTTGTTGATTCAAACTCCAAACAAAAGACCTGGATGTGTGAGCAGCAGCACCCAGAGCAGAGTCCACTTCTGAGTGTTTACAGGCTGACCTTAGCTTCAGGTGGTTTAACCTGGTTCTCAATCACAAGAGGGTTTAAATGGGTAGACATTGGAGCAGCTGGAGGGATGGGAATCATGGTCAAGATGTCTCTGAAGGAAGGGGGAATCAGGACTCTGGGAAGTCTCATTTCAGAGGACCAATTACTAATTTCTGGACCACTGTCACAGGATTGTTCCCCAGAAAAGCCCATACAGAGAATGAGACAGGACAGGCATGGAATCTGTGAAAAGTGATACCTGAAGTGGAATATGTTCACAGTGACTGACTAAGCAGGTCTTTGCTTTTCCATGGAATTAACCTGCCCTCTCTACCGCATTCCTGAGTGCCACAGGGCCCAGCCTGCCAATCAAAACACCCAGAAAATGTGTCATTAAAGGAAGTCTGTGTCCTTAGAGATAAACACTAAGTCTTCACACCTTAAACCTGACTGCCGAGTGAAAAACACAAACTCAAGTAATGTCCTTTAAAGGAAGAATATGCAAATTTTCACACTTAAATGTAATAGAAATCAAGTACATCCTCTGAAAATAACTCTGAGTCATGACTGTCTACAATGGGTGTAACACCCGAGTCCCACTGTCTGTGATGTTTTCAGAGTCCTATCTTCAGTTTGTTTACATCGCCCGGACAGCCGGCTGACTCCTCCCCTCACGTATAAAAGTTGTTTAATTGAGGGACTAGAGAAAAGAAGAATAACATACTGTACTCACTGCTTAACTGTGTTTCTAGATCACGCTCATTTCAGGTAAATTTACATGCAGTGTGAAGATACGAGCATTAGCATGCTAACACAATAATGCACCGCACATTGTTTTGGTTTCATGCTGGTGCTCAAGGGCGACATCTGCTGGATCAAAACATCACATATTCTTTCAATAAATAGAAAATACTTCCTCTAATTTTGTTTAAGAAGAATTATTTATTTATTTACTAGCCCCACGTACAGAGGCTGTAGTCCTTGAAGCAGACGGCCCGGGTACGAACACAACCTGTGACTACGTTCTTGCATTTCATTCCCAACTTTCTCTCTCTCTCCCCAATTTCTGATTCTGTCCACTGTCCTGTCTGTCCAATAATAAAGGATACAAAAAAACGTATATATTTGCTAATGAGGAAGATGCTTCTTTGAAACTAAGTTTCCCATTACTGAGACAGCCATTACATCTCTCCTTCAAAGACAGCAGACTGCCACGATAAACAGTAATTTACCTCACAGGATGCCTGCTGCCATCACTGGTTAATGTATCCTAACCCTAGGGCAACAACGCCCCTCCAACAAATTGAGGTTCACCAGCTGTATAGAGCGCCACAGGAATGAGTCCTAAAACCCGGAAGTTAGCATTTGAGCACCATGGGGTCTAACGTCTAAAAGTCAATGGGGATTTTAAATGTGTTTGTTTTTAGACGCCTGAAATAAGTTCTGTGGCTAACAAAAGCTTAAGAGATGTTGGCGTGTTGTTAGACCACATAAACTATGTTAGGTAATTCCCCCACTTGTGAATTTTGAAGTTTTTTACGCGTCTTTAAAAAGGCGGTTGCTAACAAGTGGCTAAATGTGACTACAGTGGTTTTCGGGGACATTAAACGTCCGTTCAAACATCCTAAAAATGGTGTTCATCTGTGAAGATTATCCTGCCGAACAAAACGCCTACGCATCAGAAATGTGTGTTTGCCACAGAGCTTATTTTCTGCAATGATCCAAAATCCCATAGGGAGAATTCTCATTAGACCCCATGGAGATGCTACTTCCGGGTTGGCCTAAAAAAAACATGTCATATGGTTTGTTCTCTATTTGCAAGCCCCACTTATCCGTGCAAAGCATGCTGGGATACCATAGTGACACAGACCAGGCTGACAGCACAACGTTTTAACATCTTTTTTTTCCATCATTAGGGTAGACAATAAAGTATTTTCTGTTCTTTTTCTATTCTATGATCAGTCTGTAGTGCAGGACTCACTCTAACATTTCTGGTGAAAAAATAAGCTTCTTGTTAAAGCTGTGTGCGTTGGTCTGTAATAGTTCTATTAGTGGGACAAAGGTGAGAGGGTTTCAGATTTGTTCAGTGAGAAGTGATGCTGGAGGAGAGCTCAGACTGTATCCTGCAGGGTAATACCAGAGGTCATCAGCTGACAGCTAATTGGCCAGGATGGTTACGTCCGTCTCCTGCAGCTTCACCATCGTTAGCACCCTTCATTCATTCATGACCTCCACTTTGTGCTCACCTCTGAAGCTTAGGACTCATTAGTGCAATTATTTACAGTCATTCACCTCTCCCTCCCCAAATCTAGAAGCTTCTCTGAATGAGTGAAGACAGTGTCATGTCCTTGCCATTCTCTTTTGTCAGGCTGCCCTAATAAATCTCGAGAGACTCTTCAAGTGGTCCAAAATGCTGCAGCTCAGGTACTGACTAGAACTCGGAAAGATATCACATTACTATGAATATCAGCTTCTCTGTAGTGGCTTTCTATAAAATCTAGAATACACTGTTAAACATTTCAAGTTGGTTTAACTTAAAAATGCAAGTTAATTTGCTGCCTTGAAAAGATAAGTTAAGTCAACTTAAAGACACACTTTGTTTCAACAATGAAATTCAAGTTAAAGAAGTTGAATTCAACAACATAGTTGAGATAACTACAATCTTGTAGTTATCTCAACTATGTTGTTGAAGCTCTGAATTATTTTTGGCTTTTGATACCTTGTTGTTTCAACTTAATATCGCAAATTAAAACAATGAGTTATGCAACATTTATTTAAAAAATAATGTTTTTAACCTATTCAACAAATCACACAATTCTGTATTGTTTTGATTAACAATTTCAGGTTTTGTTTTAACAATTTTCAGGGCTGTGATGTTTTACAGTGTAGTTACCAAAAGCAGGCTTGCATTCTGGGAGCGTGAGGCGTTTTGGGACCGCAGGAACTTTCTCAGTTCCTCCTGTCCGAAAAAAAACCACTGAATAATGCTGAGAGCTCTTGATAAGATGGTGCCTGACCATTAAGAGCTTTGTAAGTGAGAAGAAGGACTTTAAATTCTTCATGTACTATGGGAGGTAGAGCCTTCAGTCATCCGGCCTCTCTCCTTCTGAATCACCTACCAGTCAGGCTCTGGGAGGCAGAGAGTGAGACCCTCTCTACCTTTAAAGATATCTATAAAAGCTTCTGTTTTGATAAAGCTTGTATTAGGGCTGGCTCAGGCTTGGACCAGCTGCTTTATGCTTAGACTACTCGGGGACCTGGCAGGCTGTGCTCTTGTTTCTCTCTCTTTCAATCACTCTATCAGTATGCACTCATGACAAATTAATGACGACATGGTCATTATCAGAGGGCATTAACTTTCTTTAGGTAAACATATTTGCTTGGCTTTCTTTACTTTTGATAAGAACTTATTTAAAGGTGCCAAACCCATGTGTTCATGAGCTGAGTATGTGTGCTGGGATTGTATTTGTGTAATGATACCATTACTCTGCAAACAAAGACTTAAATATACACACAACAACCATACACCACAGGACTTAAATACTCTGATATTTAACTTTCCTCAGCTTGGCAACTCTCACACTCACATGGGACGTTTTGTTTATGGAACATTTATAATAAGTCTTTATTGACTAAATACACAACAGAACAAACATCGCCCACTTTACTATTGAACACATTCATACACAGATAACGTCTCCCCCCTTTAAATACTTCTTTTAATAATACGCATGTGTTGAGTCTGCCAGATAAATCAGGTATGACTGAGTCACTTTTAGAAGCAGTGGCCCTGAAAGCTCTGAATACTGCAGTTTATGAAACAGATGCTGCTATATAAAACCCCTTTCTTCATTGATTTGCCGGTTCAGTCGAGGAGAGACTGACAGGGGATGGTACAGTTCTAAATCAGGGGATCAGGGGGCGGCAGTAGCTCAGTCCGTAGGGACCTAAGTAGGGAACTAGAGGGTCGCCGGCTCAAGTCCAGGTGCGGTACCATAATATGTAAGTTGGTCTGGTAGCTGGAGAGGTGCCAGGATGCTTCCTGAGTACTGCTGAGGTGCCCTTGAGAAAGGCACTGAACACCCAAACAGCTCAGGTGTGCTCTCCCTGTGTAGCAGCCCCACTCTGACATCTCTCCACGAATGCATGTCCACAGGTCCTGTTTGTGCATGTGTGTGATTGGGGCTTATGTGGGCGAGAAGCATGTCTCTCATTAAAACAAAATTTAGAATCAATCAAGCGTCAACTCATAACAAGTGTTATCTCGAGACACTTTACAAAAAGCAGGTAAAATACCTTACTTATTGTTATGTTACAAAAAGCAGGTAAAATACCTTACTTATTGTTAGTGGGTAT